GACCTGAATTATACAAGACCTCATGATTCGAGGGAGATGGGACGGTAAAGGGTCATTAAATAGAGCGTCTCTAAATAGAGACAAAATTCTTCCACATTCATCTGGTTTGACTTTGTAGCACAGTTCCTCTAGTTCTAGTCTTTGAAGCTGGGGGATTTCAAAACCTTTGGGAGTTGTGCTCATTAACCAACTGTAATCTACGCCTGTATTCCGACGCCTGTCGTCAACCTCTTTTTCGTGCGAGATGCGTTCCAGTTCTTTGATGTGGTACTCAAGCTCATGAATGATGGTGTCAATGACCACAACTTTTGAATCTTTTTCTGGAGGGCGGTGTCCCTCTGACATGAAATTCTTCCACAGTGATTTGATTGGTTCCATATTTTCTCAACCTGTTGAAGAATATGAGTTGAGAATCACATTGTATTTGTAGCACAAAAATAATTAGTAACACAGAGAAAATCGAGGTCTTCTATAAAAATCACGTTTGAGAATTTTCATAGTATTTTATCGTGTTATGTTACTTAGCTTGGCAGACATTTCTCTTCACATTTTACTCAACTCTAACATTACACAATGTAAACATGATAAATAAATGATTGAAAAAATATATATGTACAAATATAGTCCTCAAATACTGAGTATTTGAAGCAGAGTTATCCATCACATATACACATCAAAAACAAATCTGACTTTGTTTCATTAATACCTGAGGGTGTTCAAAAGAAGAGTGAAGAGAGAAAACGAATTAATTATGGTGCCATTTTAACGGAAGTATGTGATGAATGGCTGGAATGTTAACTGCTTTCTGATTGGTCGATTAAACTGGATTGTCCAATGACAGTTCCTGTTACATTCATCGGTCGGGAAACTGTCAACAATGTCGCACCACAATCAAGGCCAGATTCAGAGCCACCAAAGACCAATCCAACAGGACTGGGCAAACCGAGAGTACATAGAGGTCATCACTGGCAGCATTAAGAAGATTTCTGACTTTCTGAACTCCTTTGGTAAGACGTAGATAAGTCGTCTCGCTTGAAGAATAGGTGGGGAGGGGATTTCCTGGTACATCACTACATGTATGAACTAAACCTGAGTTATTTTACATGATTATAACAACAACAGTGTGAGAATAAGTATTGAATTATTGTGTAAAACGAAAAACAATCACACAAAACATTCAGATTAGACCTTAGGCTAGTGAATCATACCCCCCCCCCCCCGTCCCTTTAAGGCATCCCATAGTTTGGGGATTATATTTATACTGATAAAATTATATATCCTGCACAATATTAGCCCTTTCAGTTTCATGATAACTGCAGTACTACTCTTTTGCAGGGCATATATATAACGTTTGGTATATCATTTTGCCCTGCAAAAGAGTGGTACCACAGTTTAAATATCATGAAAAGGTTGATTGTATAGGAATTATATAAACGGAAAGAACTTGATCTACTGGTACCCAGAAAAACGTGCTAAAATATAGTATTGCTGTATGCGAATTTAAAATACCGGTTTATGTTAGATTGCGTGAGCGATGAAAAAAAATGAAAAGTATGAGGTTTTTGGTCTACTGCTGGAGGTGCTTATGATAGATTTTTTTATTAGTCTATCATCAAGATTCTGGATCGATTATGTGATAAGATATATTGAGACTAAAGATTTTGTACATGTACTGAGATCTTTTGCGAGTCTGTGAGATATAGTTGAACTAATCTAAGACTGCTTTTTAACATTGTTTTATTTTTTGCACATAAATTGTGTATTTCCCATGTATAGTTACAAAAGAAATTTATTTTTTCATTTTCAGATACATCCTGTAGATCAAGACTTGCGACTCTGAATGAGAAACTGACACATTTGGAAAGAAGAGTGGAATACATTGAGGCCAGGGTATGTATTCCTAGAAACATTTTCATTAATACCTTTTACGTAATTAAAAAAAAAAAGTTTATAATATAAATCATATCTCTTGCTTTACATAATTATAATTGTTTGTTGTAGGTCACAAAAGGAGAAACTCTTACATAATTTGGCAAGCAGGATTTTTGTACAATAGGAATGCATGAATGAATGAGTGATTGGAATCTGAACACAAGGAGTGGATCAAGAGTGGTGTATAGAGGCATCATGACAGGGTCTCTCTGACACTAAATAACACCCTCTTCATATTTAAGGAAGAGAATTTAATGTTAATTCATTTTGAATATCTTGTCTTTAGTGAACGTAGTGTTAGCCATATAGTGCATCTGACTGTTACATGTGATGCAATACTCTGTATCCGAGGTTTTAAAATATAAGATGTATTTACCTTATGTAACATTTTAATTTAGATTGAAATTGATTCATAATAAAACCATTGGGTAAAAATATTTCTAATATATAAGAGCAATGATGAAGTGTTAGTTTTTGTGAAAGATAACCAAAGAAATAAATTACTCAAGTAAGCAATATGTGAAACCCAAGAAATTGATATTTTGAAATGTACCATGTAGATCATTTAGTGTAAAAATGCTTTATTATGTGGGATGTATATTTACTGAATGCACAACCATGTTTATTCAAAATTATTTATTCTTAATATGTACATTACATATGGAAATAATAAAATAGTAAAACATTAAAATTCAATTCACATTTTCTTTTACTTGGTCAAGGAAACACAAAACACATAGATCTTGAACACAGGCACTTGACATTACCGGTACTTGTTTTTCTTATTCAAAAAAAAAAAAAAAAAAAAAAAAAAAATAAAAAAATAGCCCCATAATATGCATAAAATCTTGTACTTTAAAACTATGAAATATTCATTCATTAGCAATTTTAAAAAAGAATGGGATTATTTTTTTATATAAGAAAAAATGAGTAACATCAAGTGTCTTGTATTTTCAGGGAAAAGCAAGCCCAGGATAACTTTTCAAGTTATATGAGATATGAGCCCTCTCTGTCTTTTAGTGTTAGTTGATATGTAAAGACAAAGAACAGAACTAAAATGTGCATAAAATCCATTTGAACTTTGCAAATTTGGAGCAGAGCAAACACAGACCTCGGTTCTGTAACCTCTAAAAACATCAGGGGTTGTATCAGATGCCATACAGGAGTAAGCATCCCCTACCAACCAATGATTCATGTCTGTACTCCTTGTACATGGAAATTTTCGCAGAAAATTCCTTTACAACCAATGTCATTCAATATTTGACTTCACAGATTGTATTTGCCAACAAGGTCATTGTTTTTTCTGAAGAATTTTATTAACATCATGCATGATCTCAGAATGTGTAAAGCCCCTTTAAAGATACCTCAAGAATTAAAAAAAATGCATTTTCTCTAAAAAAATAAAAATGTGATCACCAGGAAAGTTGGTTGGCTGTTGACAAGATAATTCAGTGAATATGTGAACCAACCTATGTCTTGAAAGACAATGATGCACACTCATGTAATCTTAGAGACAAAAGCAATTGATACATCATATGCAATAAATTAGACTTGTCCTTCTCCGTAGGATACCTTTACTGTAAGAAGAAAGTTTTAATGCATATAGTAACATGATGATAGCCAAGTGCCACATTCCTTTTTGTTTTAACATTGTGTTCTTTTTTTTTGATTATAATCACAATGGATCATTTTCAGATCTGTTGTGAGGCAGTGTCATACCCCCAGTACATTGATGAACATAGACAGATGTCACAGTGACGTAAATGGACAAATATTTACTAACTATCTTCATAGCATAACTGTTCAAAAATTAAAATAAACAAGCAAATAAGTTTAGAATTTATTACCTAGTATGAATTTGTAAAATATCACACAACAAATAGAATGGTTACATTGGATGTAGCTCTCACATCAAAAACAAGTACATGTAGCTATTTCTCCGACTCTTAAAGATTTCAAACAACTGCCAAGAAAGTTAATATCACATTTTTTAAGCTTAAGACACTGTTCTTGTGTTTAAGCATCAATATAAGGTGAAATCCAAAATCAACAGGAAAAAATAATACTTTATCACAGGCAAGAATATATATCTTTAAAAATTAACATGCAGGGACGGAAAAGTTTGAATTAATCTATAACAAAGTATATAGTTATTGATATGTTAAGAAGTACCTAATTTAGCATTAAGAAAACACAAAATCTTTGGGAAAAAAGCTCTTTTTTGTTGCGAAACATCCTGATTACTTGATTTAAGCAAACATGCCTCAAGCTACAAACAATATTACACCGATTAATTTCTTCCCTATATCATTATTACTACATGTATAAACTAAATTCTATTTTGATTTTCACACCCTAACAAATGTATACTAGCTTTCAACCTGCTAACGTCATAAATATCACAGATAATTTGTTAAAAATTCCTACAATGAAAACATATAAAAAATAAATATATATAAAAAATGGATGTCATTCTCAATGTTGTAAATGAAAAACGACATTCTGATAAATTTGAAAAAAAAAAAAAATTGCGAAAAAGACTATAATTTCAAAATTACTCTTGCACACCCATTGACATGTGGTAGTTAACAAAATGTAAAAAATAAATTTTAATTAAACATCATATCACATATCTATCATTGTGTAGTGTCAATTCTGATTACAGCATAAATTAGTCAAATCTTCTTGGCACCAATTTTTTTACTTCAGTTCCTCAAAACTTGGAGATATCACTCTCCTCAGATGTGAGGACCACATTCTCAGCCAATCACCACTCAGACCTGAGGACCACGCCCTTCATCCAAGCCTGGCTCCTCCACTCTGAGGACGTAAAAGCTTGTTGAGAACTTTTGGGGAAGGAACTGTCTTCTGCATATATGGACTTTTTAATAACTGGACATAATGAGAAGGTGCCTGGCTGACATTGGAGGCAGAAAATGGACGATGGTTGACTGAAATCTTCTTGTGTCGTTTTGGACTGCGAGGACGTTTTTTCATGAAGATTCGGTCAATGGGAGGGTCACCTGTGGGGGAGTCGGCTCGTTTGGGGGAGTGGGGACGTCGTTCCTCTGGGTATCGTGGGGCAGACAGAGCTGAAGTGGAACTCTCCCTTACCAGCTGTAACACCGGCTCTGCAAAAAAAAAAAAATATTGAGATGTATGTGTCTCTTAAAGAAATTAATTTAATGTAAAATAGGTACTGTTGACTTTTCCTTGGCGCCTCCCAAATTTTGGTGTTGTGGCCGGGAAACCCAAATATATGTGTTCAAAAAGTAAAATAGGATGCACAATGGCAATATGTAATAAAGAGTGAAAGTTTCATTAAATTTCAGAGTGGTATGAAATTGCAGAATAAAACTTTTCACTTTTCATGGAGATAAGTATATAAATTCTTCATGTAACTAGGGGATATTTAACCTTCAAATGAAAAATACCTCTGTTACAAGAGATTGGATTTAGTGGTTAAAAGAGTAAATGAAATTGCAGTATAAAACTTTTCACTTTTCATGGAGATAAGTATATAAATACTTCGGTCATGGTACTAAAGGATATTTAAGCTTCTTGCCACCTCTGTGCACATCATCACTTGAAGTCAATATTCATTTTGAATTTATGATGATCATAGCTTTTGTATTATGAACTACTGCACAAGACCCCCCCCCCCCCCCCCAACCAACCAAGGAGCCAAAAATGGGTCTTTACCTATCGCATCCTATAGATTTTTGTTGTATAAAATCTTGTACTATAACTATGAAATATTCATTTATTACCAATTTTCAAAAAAGAAATATACATCTTTCATAGAATTTTATTTTAAAAAAAAATTACCTAGAGACTCGTCATCAATGGTCATATCATTTCTACAGGAGTCACATTGGAAAACAGGGCACCCCACTCCTTGTACCTCACTGAAAGTGTGCCTCATAAAGGCAGCAAAGGATGCGTAGTCATAGGCACTGTACCGTCCATGCCAGGCAATGTAACCTAAAATCAAGTCAAGAAATCACTCATTACCACTGAAAATTTGAAAGTATCTCTTCATTATATTTTTTCTTTTGGCCAGCTTCAAAATGTAATTAGACATCATTGTAAAGATATGATTTGATATTAAATACAAAGAAATCCTTCCCTTATGTTACATTTTTCAGTAAATAAATACCCTGGTAGATAAATGCTTACCATCTGCATGAATAAATAGGAAAGTGGGCACACCAGCTATTCCTAAAATTTCTGTCAAATCCACATGCTTTTTGCCATTCTCTATATCATTCCTGGAAGCTGATCCTTGAAGAAAAAAAGAAGAAACATTCAGATTATAAAGAAACTTTCAAATTTAAACATTAAATTACAAATGCAACAATCCGAATAGTAAATGATGTTCAATTCCCATTGGTCAATAGACAAAACTACCCATAATTCCTTACCTGCAGTGCTGTTTTTCCAGACACTGCTAGCTTCCTCAATAGGAGAGGCACACTGGCTTGTACAGTGCCAGATGACCCCCTGTTCTCTCCAGCCATTGGAAGTAATGGAGTGGATCAAGGATTTTCTGTCTGAGGCATGGTTAGCTTCCACTCCACAAGATACAGCAATAAAGTTATACTGAAAGAAAAGAGGAATTATAGTTTTTAAGTGTGCTATCTCTTATGATTGGATTGTTAGCAATGATAAAGCAACTAAAATATTTTATTCTTGTAAATTATGGATTTATAACCCATCTTCTTTGTACAGTTTGACCTTTTCCTAAATACAGTAAAACTTGGTTATAATGAAGTCGCTGGGACCTCTGAAATTACCTCACTATATCCGTAATTCGTTACATCCATATAAGGAATTCTTTAAATTTATATAGTTGGGGATCCAATATAACTTCGCTATATCCATGAATTCGCAATATCTGTGTTCATATTAAACAAGTTTTACTGTAACAGTTCCATGCAAGTTTAAATATTACCTCAGAAGCTCCTTCCCTGGCAAAACGTGCATAATGTGACATTACTTTCTGAGATCCATGACACCTGATGGAAGAAATAATCAAAAAGATAAAAAAAAATATTTCTTCAAACGCACAAATCTAAGTCAAAGTTTAAATCTCCTTGGATGTCTTTTCATCCAGGCACAAGAGAGATGAGAATTGATTTCAGAATCAATTATTCAAACTTTTTCAAACAATTTAAGATTTTTTTTAATAATAACAGACAATAATGTGCCTCCTAGACAAATTTAATCAATTTTTGTCAGTTTTACAACTAACCATGGTGTCCAGAAGAGTACAGCTGTTGGGAACTGTTTGTTGTGTGTCCCTAGGAAGGGTTTGTAGTCTCCCTGGAATATGTCCAGCAGGCTACAGGCTGGGGGAGGGACCCGGCGTTTTAGGAGGCCTTGATTGGCTAGTTTTTTGGCTAACTGTCGCTCGTACATCACCGAGTCCTGATACTTACAGCATCCCTGGTTTGGCCATCTAGGTAAAAAGAAATTTAAAATCCATTACAATAAAACCCCTTTCATAATTGCTACACAGAGTAAAATGTTTTGAAAATGTTTCATTAAATTTTTTTCTAGAAATAAAAATTCAAACATCATTTTACAGGATGCACTGGTTTGTACAATGTACAGCTTCTGCATGTGATTGCACGAGTTTAACAGGAAAGTCGACTAATTAAATGTTACAAAAATATGTTTGATATTTTTTAAAATAGCAAGGTTGTCAGTGATAGAAATATTAACTTACTTTGCGTTTTGATTATGGATGCTGTGGTAGCAGTAGAAGGAGAATGGTCTGAAGGTCTCAGACAGGAGATCTACCGCATTGGATTCTGGGCTGGAGGCCTGTGGTTTGTCTGACACAGACACCATTGTCAGTTTGTAGATTGGCTGCTCAGTTCCAAGCTGAAATATACAAAGATACGTTGAAATTAAAATACTGTTAGACAGTCTACATTGTAACTGTTGGAAAGTTTGCAAAATTTCTTTGCATGTACATCTCTTTACTCATACTAGAAATTGCAAAGCATACTTTTGGTTTAGATTTCTTTCAGTAAATTAACATAACATATTTATTTCCATGTTAATTGGTCACATGGTAAAAACCTTTCTTGAAGTTCTTTATATTCTTCGTTAACTTATCTGAGATTTTACTCAAACATACAAAACCATTAGAAAGTGTCATAACCTACAAGTTCCAATGCTTCTTGAACAGTCAAATATCAGCTAGTAGTTAAAAATTGTCAATACTATGAAGTACTTTACCTTTATTCGAACTTGTTTGACTCCTTCGTGCATGGTATTTCCGTACTGTTTCCCATCAATCAGAACTTTAAATCCTGACACGGTGGTCTCACTCTGCCTCTGGGGGCAGGACCAGCTGACATGGGCAATCAGCTGACCAGTGTAATGTTCCAAGGCACCGAAACAGTGCTCCAGAATTTCCTCTATCCTGGATAAAGTGTGCGCCCCCTCAATCACTCCCCTATTCTTCTCTGCTCTCAATGGGTTTGATAAAGCACCAATTTCTTTTAGTTTATGTCCTACTTTTCTTATTAACCTGAAATTTAAATAAATTTCTGTAACATCCCTATTCAAGGTCTCTCCCTGCACTATGGCAAATTGACCCTCCTCTATGATAAAAGTAAAACAAAAATCAGTTACCTATCCCTCTTGTTGACTAGATCACATGTCAGTCTCTCTAGAGCCCTGCGTTCATCCAATCCGACCACTGTCACGGTAACCAGGGGTGGATCCGGGGCGGGGGCTGGGGCCACATGTAGGGGCTCAGAACACACCACATCACCAGTGTTGTATAACTGAAATAATAACACCAGTAATGCAATAATTCAATACATATCCTCTTTAAGTCTTCAAGATATTTCTTCATTAAAAAAGTAACACAAAGACTGTTTGTATTAAAATAAAGACTTAATATCCTTTTCACACAGAAAGTGAACTGAAGAATTCAACTGAGTACTAATTCTGCTGTAGAATTTAATTGTTCATACAAATAAAACCTGCATTGGCATGTTCTACATACATGTACTTCCAGGAAGATGCTGTAGGATCCTCGCTTAAGGTTCTTGAACTCTGCCTCCCTGGTGTTAGGATGAATTGGTCCAATAGAGGGCGTAACTTCCTTTTCTGTGTCACGTTCCACACAAACAGCCTAAATATTAATAGTATAAATAAAACTTATGTTAGTTGAATAATTACATAACCAATCATAATCTATCAAGCAATTGAATTATTCAACCTAGGCTTATTTTTTCAAGGAATACCTTGCAATTTAGCAAAGTAAATTTTTCTTTGATAAAATATGAATTCAAAGTGAAAATACTGACCCTAAAATGTTTGACCTTGACCCCTTCTGTGAGGTAAGGATCATCCCATGCAATCCTGACACAAGAACTACTGTGGGTGGCAAGTCGTTTCAGTGCTGGGGCCTTACATCCTGGCCAAACCACCACTAGGGGTTCCGAAACTTTGCTGTGGAGTTTTTCAAAAGAAGTCAGGGCTTGCACCTGGAAAGCATATTCCTGGCACCATTTCCCATGTGTGAAGGTAAAGCTCATCTGTTCTGCATTCAATATGGCCTCCACAATGCCATTTACATACACTTTGTAGCCTGTTACTAAAGCATCTCCATATGTGTTGGGTTTCTCCCACTGCACTGCTATATACCGGAAGTTGCAAGCTCTACAAAATGATGAATTATAAGTAAAGCATGAACTGAGTACCATAAATCAGCAAAATTTGAAAATTCAGTGAGGATCAACTTTATGATTAAACAAGATGCCTACATTATATGGGAATGCTTGTATATCAGTTGCCTTGATCCATCTTACCAATTTTTAAAAATAAAAAGATTTTTATTGCATAATTCCTTATTAATTGACTTGTACCTGACAGAGAGGATGGGGGCGTCTGGTGGCGCCGAAGTCTGAATGGTCAGTTGTCTGGACTTCTCCAGAATCTGTCCGTCAGCGTCGACGGCGATCAGTCGGACAAAGTGGGTGGTCCCGGGCAGACAGTTGTTAATGACACAGCTACTGTCCTTATCTGATAGCTTGACCTCTCTTTGCTGTAAAGAAAATCACAAAATGACATTTTATTCAAGTTGAACATAGTGTTAAAGATTACATCTACCAGACTGAAAAATTGACAGTCCAATATAATTTTATCTACTATGATATTTACTACATGAAGGCAATTTTGACAACAATATAATTGTACTTTCATGAAGTTTTGCCTTTGATTTAAAAAAAAAAGTTGTCTGTGTCATATTAAGTTTATTCATGCAGATTTCTTAAGAACCTGAAAGTTTTCTACCCTTTAAAGCTCTTCTAACAGTAACAGCTCTAAAACTGATAAGTCACAACGTTTCTTCTACAAAACTTTTATGTTCAATAATAACTGGCACTATTTTTACCCTTTCCGGTAATAATAACATATACAAAATTTGCTTGAACCTCAATTTTCTCTCATCTTTTCTTTGAGAATTATCAATTTCATACCAAAAGTTACATTTTTCCATTAAATTTTACTCTTAGACTTTTTAAAAGTTCCAGTGTACATACTGCTGGTTGCGCCACACTGCTCCATTGAATTTTATATCCTGCCACCCCCTCTGTTTCTATGAAGTTGGACCAGTCCAGCTGTATGGAGGTTTCCGTGACAGTAGTGACCTTGACCGGAATCATGTCCTGGTCCTCGCGGACCGTATCCTCGCTGGACAGGAGGCGGGGGGAGTGGGGTGAGGTGCTGACCAGTAGGGTGTTTGACAGGGAGGAGTCACTGTAGAAAGAATTGTCACTCAAGGCCACCAGCTGGACTTTGTAGTTCCTGTGAGTCAAAAGTAATGAAATGTACAAACCAGAAATGTTTTTTTTAACTTTGTCTTTTGCTTTGAAGATATGATAATTACACAAGTGTAGCTAGATTATTATTGTAATTTTCTATAGCTCAGGGTGAGATTCTTTATAATTATACATGTTAATCCCTCCCCATTCTAATCTCCAAGAACCCTCCATTATCCCCAGCATATCAAGAAATTTCCTTTCAAATCAAGTTATTTCTTTGAATCAAAAGTTAATAATATGACAATAATTTATGATAGGATATAGTCCTAAGGCATAGTATTGATTTTTTACACAAGACTTAATTGTTGTTAATTTAGTTTAATAAAAATACTTACTTATTTGGGCGGCATGGTATGACAGCCTTGCGGTGAGAATTACTGAGTTCATTTCCAACTTTCTTGTCATTCAAATATACCTTCAAACCAAAGAACAGAGAAAATAGACAGTTAGGATATAACTTTCACTAAATCTTATCTGAAACAAATCTGATCAAATCTCGATCTCAAATAAAACACAGAAAATAGGTACATGATAAGACACTTTATCTTCAATAATAAATTAAAATCTTGACAGTGTATCACTTAACAATGAAATAGGTGATAAACAAAAGTTCCCCGAATCAATAGCTGTCAAAAGATTCCGATAAAGAGAAATATCATTGACATGGTTGCTATGGATATATCAAGGAAGCCGTCTTAAAATGGAGTGCCACCATGGAGCCATGTTGCTACAAGGATTCTTAATGTCAAAACACTTGAGCTTATGGAAGAAAAAAAATCAAATACCCCTTATCAGAGAGAGAAAAACAGAGAGCACTAGACAATTGGATAGGGGGTTGTTCAGATAACATATTGATCTGTTACCTAAGCCTTATGAGAGTTTTTACCTGTTACCTGTGAAACTTTGAATTGAAAAACATTAAACATGCATGTACTAAACTCTTGGAGAAAAGTAAACAACTTTCTTCTATGACAAGAAGCACATTTCATGATTGTATTGAAAGGGTCAGAGATTTGATGTTTTCTTCCATTTAATGATTTTCGTTTATGTTGTAATTATAAGATATTCAACCCCCCCCCCCCCCCCCTCTTTTTTGAATGGTGTACACACAAATCAAAAAACAATTCTATTGAAGCAAAAGAGACATCAGAATTTCAGCGTGTTTTTTTCGTGTAATTTGAAACCAACTGGTTTTAACACACTGTACAAGAGAATAATTTGATTTTGTTAAATTTGACAGGTGCTTTCTACAATAACTGTGATTATAATACCTGCCAGTCTTATCTGAGGTTTCACAAAACTTGTTTAACAATAGCTTTCTTTCGTATCATGGCAATGTGGAGTCATCAAGCCTTTATCATTCAATCCATCCCCTTAACTCACTACCTACTGATTTCTTAATCCTAGCTAAAACATTTGATTTCAATCATACTAAATTGTCTTCATGGCCTTGAACCTTTGTAGCCACTGACCATGTAACCTCTGACTTTGACCCCATTCTATGACACAATTATATATTTGTTAAAATACTTGAATGTCTTCATGGCTTTGAACCTCCCTAGACACAGATAAGTCTTCATGACCTTGAACCTCCCTAGATACTGACCTGGTAACCCCGAACTTTGACCCCTCCAAACAGCCTAGGTTCACCCCATTCTATGACGAACTCCTCTGGGCTGACAGACTTTAGGAAGATTTCCGGTGGATCTGGAGGACCGGGGATAACCAGCTGGATTTTCTGGTTCACCTGGTGCAGGGCGTCTGTAAAGTAGTCCGGCTCCACCTGGATGTCATAGGAGGCCCTACAAAGACAGATCAGGTTTAAATCATACTTAGGTCCAGAAATTATATAAAAAATATACATATACTGACATATAAACTCTAATTCTAATGCAATTGTTTTGTAAAACATGTTTTGATTGGCTAATACACTGATGTTTGAAGCAGGAAAATGAGCATTTACGAGAGAGCTAGAGAAAGCTTTTCATTGTGACGTAATAATAGAGCGATGCAAAAACACAATGCCCCGTGTCGTATATCATGTAACAAAATTCAACAAAATAAAACGTAAACAACAAACAAATAGCATTAGAATGGGAATAACTGATCTTCTCTTTTGGTATTTGCGACCGTTAATGTTGATTTAACGGTCGCAAACATCCATTTTACCAGCTCCGCTTACGCGTCGCCAGTAAAACTCAGTTTGCGACCGTTAAATCAGCCTTAACGGTCACAAATACCAAATTAGAAGATAGTTATTCCTTAATTTATCTATATAGGATACAAACCAGAAGTCTCTGTTGAGACTGAAGCTCTACTGGTTTGAACTTATAGCAAAGGAAAAGAAAAGTACTTAAGCAGCTGGGATTTGAAATTTTACAACAGCAATGAATAGAATAATGATCGTTGATAAAGTCTCTTTATGTTCTTAGTGTAGTCTACTTGTGTGCCAAGTTATATTGAAATCAGACCAAAACTGTAGGAGGAGTAGCATTTTGAAACAATTTTATAGTCATTTCTATTTTTAGTAACCATAGCAACACCATTCATCAAAATTAAAATTAAAATTCGATATACAGAATTATGTATCTTAGTGTATTCTACTTGTGTGCCAAGTTATACGAAATCAGACCAAAACTGTAGGAGGAATAGCATTTTGAAACAATTTTACAGATATTTCTATTTTTAGTAACCACGGCAACACCGTTCATCGAAATCAAAAACCAATACATAGATTTATGTATCTTAGTGTATTCTACTTGTGTGCCAAGCTATACTGAAATCAGACCAAAACTGTAGGAGGAGTAGCATTTTGAAAGAATTTCACAGAAATTTCTATTTTTAGTAACCACGGCAACACCGTTCATCGAAATCAAAAACCGATACACAGAATTATGTATCTTAGTGTAGTCTACTTGTGTGCCAAGTTATATTGAAATTAGACCAAAACTGTAGGAGGAGTAGCATTTTGAAAAATTGTTTACAGACAGACGGACAGCTAGACAGACAGACGGACAGACGGACGGACGCCGGGCGCATTACTATCGCATAAGCTCTTCTGGTCTCTGACCAGTAGAGCTAAAAATTAAAGCACCTCTTTTCTTCATATTGGAAGATTTTTAAAAACTTTTTAAAAAACTTTTTTATTATTTAAAATTCACTGAGTACTCATTTCTAAATTTTATTCGAATAACATTTCAGGTTTCATCAGAATCCCGAGAGTATATGAGTATAACTGACAGACATAAATTTAAATAAGAAAATAACCAGAAGTCTCTGTCGAGACTGTAGCTCTACTGGTTTGTACTGATCAAAAACCGATGCATAGAATTATGTATCTTAGTGTAGTCTACTTGTGTGATAAGTTATATTGAAATCAGACCAAAACTGTAGAAGGAGTAGCATTTTAAAGGAATTCCACAGAAAATTCTACTTTTAATAACCATGGCAACACCGTTCATTGAAATCAAAAACCGATGCACTATTATGTGTAAATTAGTGTAGTTTACTTGTGTGCCAAGTGATAATGAAATCAGACCAAAACTGTAGAAGGAGTAGCGTTTTAAAGGAATTTCTCAGAAAATTCTATTTTTAGTAACCATTGCAACACCGCTCATCGAAATAAAAAACCGATGCACTATTCTATGCATCTTAGTGTAGTCTACTTGTGTGCCAAGTGATATTGAAATGAGTCTAAAACTGTAGAAGGAGTAGCGTTTTAAAGAATTTCTCAGAAAATTCTATTTTTAGCAACCATGGCAACATCGTTCATCGAAATCAAAAACCGATGCACTATTTTATGTATCTTAGTGTAGTCTACTTGTGTGCCAAGTTATATTGAAATCAGACCAAAACTGTAGAAGGAGTAGCGTTTTAAAGGAATTTCTCAGAAAATTCTATTTTTAGTAACCATGGCATCACCGTTCATCGAAATCAAAAACCGATGCACTATTTTATGTATCTTAGTGTAGTCTACTTGTGTGCCAAGTTATATTGAAATCAGACTAAAACTGTAGAAGGAGTAGCATTTTAAAGGAATTACTCAGAAAATTCTATATTTAGTAACCATGGCAACACCGTTCATCGAAATCAAAAACCGATGCACTATTTTATGTATCTTAGTGTAGTCTACTTGTGTGCCAAGTTATATTGAAATCAGACTAAAATTGTAGGAGGAGTAGCGTTTTGAAAAATTGTTTACAGACAGACGGACAGCTAGACAGACAGACGGACGGACGCCGGACGCATTACTATCGCATAAGCTCTTCTGGTCTCTGACCAGTAGAGCTAAAAACCGATACACAGAATTATGTATCTTCGTGTATTCTACTCGTGTGCCAAATTATACTGAAATCAGACCAAAACTGTAGGAGGAGTAGCATTTTGAAAGAATTTCACAGAAATTTCTATTTTTAGTAACCACGGCAACACCGTTCATCGAAATCAAAAACCGATATACAGAATTATGTATCTTAGTGTAGTCTACTTGTGTGCCAAGTTATACTGAAATCAGACCAAAACTGTAGGAGGAGTAGCATTTTGAAAGAATTTCACAGAAATTTCTATTTTTAGTAACCACGGCAACACCGTTCATCGAAATCAAAAACCGATATACAGAATTATGTATCTTAGTGTATTCTACTTGTGTGCCAAGTTATACTGAAATCAGACCAAAACTGTTGGAGGAGTAGCATTGTGAAAGAATTTCACAGAAATTTCTATTTTTAGTAACCACGGCAACACCGTTCATCGAAATCAAAAACCGATATACAGAATTATGTATCTTAGTGTAGTCTACTTGTGTGCCAAGTTATACTGAAATCAGACCAAAACTGTAGGAGGAGTAGCATTTTGAAAGAATTTCACAGAAATTTCTATTTTTAGTAACCACGGCAACACCGTTCATCGAAATCAAAAACCGATATACAGAATTATGTATCTTAGTGTATTCTACTTGTTTGCCAAGTTATACTGAAATCAGACCAAAACTGTTGGAGGAGTAGCATTTTGAAAGAATTTCACAGAAATTCTATTTTTAGTAACCACGGCAACACCGTTCATCGAAATCAAAAACTGATACACAGAATTATGTATCTTAGTGTATTCTACTTGTGTGCCAAGTTATACTGAAATCAGACCAAAACTGTAGGAGGAGTAGCATTTTGAAAGAATTTCACAGAAATTCTATTTTTAGTAACCACGGCAACAACGTTCATCGAAATCAAAAACCGATAAACAGAATTATGTATCTTAGTGTATTCTACTTGTGTGCCAAGTTATGCCGTAATCAGACTAAAACTGTAGGAGGAGTAGCATTTTGAAAGAATTTCACAGAAATTTCTATTTTTAGTAACCACGGCAACACCGTTCATCGAAATCAAAAACCGATAAACAGAATTATGTATCTTAGTGTAGTCTACTTGTGTGCCAAGTTATATTGAAATTAGACCAAAACTGTAGGAGGAGTAGCATTTTGAAAAATTGTTTACAGACAGACGGACAGACGGACGGACAGACAGACGGACGGACGCATTACTATCGCATAAGCTCTTCTGGTCTCTGACCAGTAGAGCTAAAAACTTGGTTACTCACTTCAACCTTGTGACAGGGATCAGAGTTTTCCTGGCATCAGGGGTGACCACTCTTGTCTGGACCTGTCTCTCCTCTGTGTTGGACCAGATAACATTAAACTGTTTAACGTGAGTGATGACATCACTTCTCTCCCCTTGTGTTTCCCAGCGAAGTTCAATGTCACCAAATGTACTGTTATCTCTATCTTCATCATGCTTGAATGTGCACTCTAAACTCTTGGTATAACCTGGAAAGAGAGAGAGAGAGAGAGAGAGAGAGAGAGAGAGACAGACAGACAGACAGAGACAGGGAGAAAGAGACAGAAATTAAAATTCTAAAAGTAATCAGTATGATATGAATGTTATACTGAGACCGTGTTTATGCTAACAACTGACCATCTTGGTCCCTGGGGAGGACGATTTCCAGAGGTTCAGAAGGTGAAGGGTCAAGGTTATCCTCATCCTGGAGTAGAGCTGAGTAGTCCACTGTCTGAAGACTGACATTTCTGTATACTCCCTTGTACTGAAGATAGAAATCAGGTATCAATCAATATTGACCTTTCAACTTTATTCATTTTTTTGCATTTTTAAAACTGCATTATTGGTAAATATGTCAAAGAGACATTTCAGTAATTCATCACTTTCTAGTTTAACACATGGCAGAAAATCAATACATTACTATTGAGCATTATTTCTAGTTACATGAAAAATTTAAATCTACCAGCCAATATTTAATACATTGTATCTCTTTAAGTATCTCTTTCAAATAAAATTACCCTAATGCAAGGTAGTTGTTTACTGAATACAATAATGCAGATAATTTTTTTCTACCAGGATTTCAATTCATTTTCTTAATCAATTTTTTTCCACTGAAATT